ATCTTCCTCCTCTCCATTTCTGTAAGAACCACTCCCAAAGTCTAGCATTTATTCCTAAGTTTGCAGTGTCTGGGTCCCTGGCCAACTAGACCTGTAAGCATGTCTATGGCTCTCTGTTGTTTCTTTATATTTACTTGCCTGAGATTGAAGTTGTTTTGGGGGTATAGCTAGCATCTCTCCTATGTAGACAAAATCATGTGGATTTTCTTCTAGCTCCCCTCTCTTTGAGCTTAATACTTGTGTTGATGTTTTGAAAATGTCTTCCTTGATTTGGAAGTTGATATATTTTCTTTTGGGTGGTGACCAGGTTTCTGAAAGACAGGTAAGTGAGTGCTGTTTTGGAGCTCAGTTCTTATATAAATGTGCCAGGGAAGGATCACCTTATTGAAAGTTATACCCTGTATCTTTCCATATGAATCCTTTGGTGAAGTGAATAGAGTATCTGCTGAGTGTTAAGATGCTCATTTCCTCCGTGTTTAAATCAGAATGCGTCAGCCAGTCAGTGATTCATGTAACGTGCCTGACTCCTTCCCCCAGAAATTCTTTTTATAAAATAGATAGTACTTTAGCATTGAGGAAGTTTACTTAATGGCTACTGTGGATTAGGAACTGTGCCAGCACTTTACAAGGATTAACTGATTTAATTCTCAGGGCATCTTCATGAGGTGGATGGCAGTATTATTTCATTGTACAGATGGGGAAGTTGAGGCTCGAGGAGGCTGTGTGATTTGCCCAAGTTAATGGTGGAGTTGGGGTTGGAAGTCCATGTGAGCTATTGATTCTTACTGATAATTTGTGGCTTTGAGTCTGGTTTCCCTGAGGGTTGGGAGGAAACCCCTTGCCTCAGCTGCGCACAGAACCAACACGGATGCGGTGTCCTTGGATGCCCAGAGCCAAACTGAAGAGGCACCACCCAGAGCATACCCCTCCCCTTCACCCCACAGTGTGGAATCTGTGTGTGATGTATGTTTTCTTTTTTCAAAACTGGGTTGGAGCTTGGAACAGCAAATATTTGATCAGAGCAAATTTCCCTTGCTAAATCCTGCCAGCTTGTTCAACTGGAAGGTTCTTTGCCTAAAAATATTCACCACTTACTGAAGGCTAAATGACTAAGTCACCCACAGAGCATAAAGCAGGTCTTAGTATGTGGAGCAGGGGTTGTTTGCATACTTGTATTTTGAATGAAATATGCGCTGCCACATACTCACCCTATGATGAACCTAAGGGGCCTCTGGGAGTAAACATGGGAAGGGCTTTGCTGGGGCTAGTAGGTGTGGAGCTCAAGTCTAGCATTCTCCTTGAAATGGATTCTAGGAGAAGGAGAGGAGAGAAGTGGGTTTGGGGTGGGGAGGTGGAGAAGAGCCTGAAGGTGAAAGACAGGCTGGGGTAGACGGAAGGGGTGCTGACATGCATGTATTATAGTGGGGCCAGGAATTAGCTTTGCTGATAGAGTGGCAGAGAGAAAGGAGGGAAGAAAAGAGTTGAATGAGTGTTATGGAGCGATAAATCCCATGTAAATACAACAGCCTAAGGAGTGAGGTGGTGTGGTTCCTCCGTGAGTATAGCTTTTACGGATTTAAAGCACTATCACCTCCTTGTTACCCAAACACTCAGTGGGTATAGCTTTTGTTTCCGGTTTGGGGCTCTGCAATGTTCACTTTGTGTGGGGTTCCCCCATTACTTCACTATCTGAAGATGTTAACCCTGTGAGTTTGCTCTCTCGTGGTGACACACAGCTGACAATTCAGAGCCCTTCAGAAAGCACTTGCTGACCCCTCCCACACCCTCGTGGAGGTGTTTCCTGTGTCCTCGTGTCTAGTCCTAATTGCTGTTCTGGAGCAGTTTCCAGAACAGACATTCTCACTGGGATGCCCAGGGTGCCTCCAACTTGTATGTTAAGAACATACTTCTGATCTGTTCTTCTGTTTCCACACCTTGTCCCCTGCCAACCCTTTCCCCCTCCACCCCAAACAGCAACGTGTTAAAAGAAGCAAAAGGGAGCCCTCCCCCATCCTTCACTTACACAAATCACTGTACGGATTCTTGTCATCTGTACAATCCTACCAACTGTGACTTCTACCCACAGAATTGCTATTTTCCCTGGCACTGGTTCACCCTCTTCATCCATTACCTGGACTGTTAAAACAGTGGCCTTCTAACTTACCCTCTTGCCTCAAACCCACCCCCTTTCTAGTAAGTCCTCCACTTTGCAGCCATTCCAGCTTAAACAGTTGTTTCTGCTTGCTTGCTGGATGGGGGCCGGACTTCTTAGCATGGTGTACACCTGGCCCTTCCCAACAAGACTCTGCCGCCTTTTGTGCTTTGTCTCTTGCCAAGGAATACATTTTTAGTATAAGTGTGCCCCATGCAATATTTAGTCTAAATATGTCCCAAATATTGTATGTGACACACTTACACTAAAAAATTAGTCATTGTTGATCTGAAATTAAATATTTTTGTTTTTTGGGTTTTTTTTGCTGAGGAAGATTTGCCCTGAGCTAACATCTGCTGCCAATCTTCCTCTTTTTTTGTGTGTAAGCTGCCACCATAGCACGGCCACTGACAGACGAGTGGTGTAGGTCTGTGCCCGGGAACCAAACCCAGGCCACCAAAACGGAATGCGCCAAACTTGACCACTAGGCCACCAGGGCTGGCCCCAAAATAATAGACGTTCTGTATTTATCTGGCAACCCTACACATGTGTTACTTTGTTTTGTAGCCTGGTCAAAAAGTATAGTAGCCTCTTTATGCGTTTATATCTTGCTCTGATCTAAAAAAATTGTGGTTGCAGGAACTTGCTGACTGCAAAATGTTTGACATTTCTTTATTAAATCTTTTGTATCTGTTCATGAAAATGATGCTATATGTATAGGGAGGGTCTCCGGAACAATGCCTTTTTGCCTGAGGCACTACTTTGGAAAAACATGTTTTGTTTTGGAGGAACATGTCTAAGATTCAGGTGCAGTAATGACTGCAGACCTTCTCTGAGGGGAGGGAATCCTCATTCAGGAAGGTGAACTCCAGTTAAGTTTAGTCTTCCTTTTGTTGATGGAAATCTTAATAGCCTCAGTTATTATTATTTCTTCAAGATCTTTTCTGGAGAAGAAACTAAACTAGCATGCTTCAGTTTTACCTCCAGCTTTGTGGTACTTTTTCTCTGTGATATTTTTGCCTTATGAATAACAGCTATAATATGATTTTCAACTGATTTTCTGTTCTGAAGAGTGTTCAACTTTGATGTTGATAAGAAGCAAGTTTTTGTTTTTTACCACTGACTAAGTCCGTATGTTCTGACAGTAATAGAAATGTACTGCTATTTTCCTTATGTAAGATTTTAATTATTCTGATAATGTAAATACATCAAGACCTTCTAATTGGACTAGATTAAACCATTGTCAACATTTATTAGAAGACTAAGACACGTAAATAAAGTGGATCAAGAAAAAAACCCAATTAACAACCAATTCATAGAGAAAACTACAGATGACCATAAATTTAAGAAAAGATGTGAACTTTGCTAGTGATGAGGAAGATGGACGTTGAAACAAGATAGTGGTTTTTTTTTGGTGAGGAAGATTGGCCTTGAGCTAACATCTGTTGCCAATCTTCCTCTTTTTGCTGAGGAAGATTGGCTCTGAGCTAACATCTGTGCCCATCTTCCTGTATTTTGTGTGTGGGTCACTGCCACAGCATGGATTGATGAGTGGTGTGTTGGTCTGTGCCGGGGATTCGAACTTGTGAACCCTGGGCCGCCAAAGCGGCACTCACGAATTTAACTACTACGCCACTGGGCCGGTCCCCAAAAAGATAGTGTTTTTTATCTTTAAATTGAGTGTTCAGGTTGGGGATGTGAGCATTCTCAGATATTATTGGTGGGATATAGATTGTTGCAGCCTTTGAAAGTGTGATTTGACTTTATTTCTTGAAATTTTAAAATGTAGATACTACTTGACCCATTGATTCCATTTCTAGGCCAGGGGTGTCTCCTATATAAATCACAGCATATGTGCAATGAGGCATCACAATGGGGTTTATTGAATCAGAGTTCATAATAGCAAAAACAAATACACAAAACAAAAAACCCTCCCAAAAAGATCAATATGGGAATGCTAATCAATTTTGATCCAGCCTTACTATAAAATATTACATAGTGGTTAAAAAGAATGGGGTGGGATTTTATGTATTAATAGGGAAAGATCTCCATGGCTTATTGTCCATTGGAAAAAAAATATTGCAGAACAATACATATACTCTTATTTAATAAAGCTGTCTCTCTATATAGGTATGGATATGGTACCATACAAGTATATATATGTGTGTGTGTGGTATATAGGTATGGGGGTATGTATACACACACACACACACACACACACACACATACATATATGTAAAATAATAAAAATACCCACCAAATTAACTCTCCTGAGGAGGGGAGTGACATTTTGGAGTGGGAGTGAAGGAAATTGCTCACTTTTTTCTATATATTTATGCATTTCAAGAAAAATATATCCATGTATTACAAGTGTAATTTAAAAAAATCCTGATGCTGGATTTCAGAATTCATTCAGGTAAGTAAAAGCTGAGTGGTGTGTTATGAACACTGTATCTTTTAAAAAGATTCAGAGAAAATTAAGAAAAAGTCTTTGGAAGAGAGACTTTCTCCTCAGTCGTCGTTTTCTGTGCGCATGGTGCGTTTCTACATTAGATTTTTTTTTTTAATTTTTATTTATTTGTTTTTTTTCCCCCCCAAAGCCCCAGTAGATATTGTACATCGTAGTTGCACATCCTTCTAGTTGCTGTATGTGGGACACGGCCTCAGCATGGCCGGAGAAGCGGTGCGTCAGTGCGCGCCTGGGATCCAAACCCGGACCGCCAGCAGCGGAGCGCGCGCACTTACCCGCTAAGCCACCGGCGGCCCTCTACATTAGATTTTGACCTGTGGGCATGACAGCCCTTCTTCACCCAGCTTGAACAGACGACTGTTTTCTCTTTTTCCTCAGATTCCTTTTTACGAAGACCTCTGTAAAGGCATTAAAGCGGGAGATACCTGCCAGAACCTGGTGGGCTACTCCGCCGTGTACAGAGTCTCTTTTGGGATGGCCTGTTTCTTCTTCATCTTCTGCCTCCTGACCTTAAACATCAACAACAGCAAGAGTTGCCGAGCGCGTGTTCACAATGGGTCAGTCCTGGCTCTTCAGGGGGTGGTTTCCCCTTTCCTTACTTTCAGAACAGTATTCCAGGGCCTCTTCTACCATCAGCCCTCTCACTGCTCTTCCTCTAGTTGAAATTGGTGACACTGACTTCAGGGAAGGTGGGACTTGCTGCCACACAGAGGCCTGAGAGCTAGAATCCTATGTGTAACACCCCGTACCCTAACGAGACATGTGCTGGAGACAAGAGTTAATTTCTTGTACCAAGACCTTTCCCCAGGTCATTTCCACCCCTGCAATGAAATGGTGTTTTGCACAATCAAAGGCCACGCCGAGGCTGTCTAATTATGGGAAAAGGTAGTCTCCAGTCACTTAATTACTTCCCCTCGATTTGGAGAGAACACTACCAGTGGCAGAATCATGGCTGACATGCTTATGTTCTAAGAGGCCTTTTGTCCTTCTTTGAATATCATTTAAATACATTTCCTTGTTTTTTTTCTTCCAGGTTTTGGTTCTTCAAACTTCTGCTGTTGGCCGCCATGTGCTCAGGAGCTTTCTTCATTCCAGATCAGGAGACCTTTCTGAATGGTACAGATGGGGTATTTTGGGTACCTATTTTGTTTTTACCCGTTTTGTAAAATTATTCAAAAGCGTAGTCCAGGGTGCCTTTGATGTTTTGAATTACTGATTTTCTTATGGCTTAAAAAAAATTCCTGCCTTACCTGCCCATACTTTATCTATCCTCTCCACCCCCGGTCCCCCTCCTTCCCTACCACCTCTTCTCCCCCTCTCCCCCACCTCCTCCTCTCCCTGGCCGCGTGTGATAAGACCTTTAGTTACTCTGTGGGCTGAAGATTGAAATGGTAATTTTAAGGTTATTGGCCTGAAAGGAAAATGAGGCACTTAAAATTTGTTTGAAAGGCAGTTGAGCATGTCAGCATGACACCACCAGCCATAATTGGAGAGGCCCAGGGAGACCTGGTTCCTTCTGAGCAGTACCCAGAACAGCCCGGGACACCGAGCACAGGGCTTCTCAGCAACTCCAAACCTGTGGCAGCTCTCGTGGGATGAGAAAGGCATCCTCCAGTCTATTTCTAAATGTACCTGATGTGAAACCGTGTGACACTGAACTGCATTCCTTATTGATAGAACTTACCAAAATGAGTTTAATGTGAAGCCTTCAATCAGAGTTGAAACAGGGGACCCTTCTTCCTATGAGCTAGGGAGAAAAAAAGCCTGAATTTCAGTGGTTCAAAACACTATTCAGCCCAAGTGGATTCACCTTCCTCGTTAAGACAGCAAAACATTCACCCTGTGTTGGTCCATAAGGAACAGCCATAGTCCCTCTAATAGTCACATATCAGAGTCTGGCTAGTTTTCAGGGTCATAGTCCTTAGGGAAGTTATACCCAAGTCTCGTTTTTACTTGAAATGCTGTTAACTAGTTTTCTATTCCCCACAGACCTACTTTTATGTGTTAGAATAATATATTTAGAATGAGAAATAGCTCAGTCATTTTTATAGACAAGCTGTAACCCAGAGATGTGACATGGCTCATCCAAGGTTAGTGCTTTTTGTAGCAGAGCCAGAAGTAGGATCTGAGTCCTTGACCCCAAGTCTGAACCTCGTTTCCTCACCAGACGTTGGTGGTTCCCTGTCCAATAAAATTTGAACCCTTGATTTTTCTGGTGATAAGTGTTTTTACTTTTAAATTGTGGGTTGTTGTTGATTTTATGAATTACTGCTCTGTTAGGATGTCTGGCAGTGATAGCATGGAGGTTAAGCTTGGACTCTCCAGAGCCAGACTGCCCGTGTTCACTTCCCAGCTACATCCTTTACTGGCTACAGGACTTTGTGGATTTACATAGACTCTCAGCTTTCTCGTCGGTAAAGTGGGTATAATAGTAGTACCCAACTCATATGATTGTGTGGGAATTAAATGTATTGCAGGTATGGTGAGCATGCAGTAAAAATGAACTGTAGTCATTACTCTCTTTTGAGCTAAACACTTGGAGCAATCACCTCATCTCCTTCTGGATGGTCTTCTTTTGCAGCCTGGCGCTATGTGGGGGCCATTGGAGGCTTCATCTTTATTGGCATCCAGCTCATCTTGCTTGTGGAGTTTGCACATAAATGGAACAAGAACTGGTATGTGCCTTTATGGAGAGCTTCCAGTGAACTCACCTCCTGACTCAGAGAAACTGCCCGTGGAACAGCGTTGATCAAGCTCTGATCTGAGTTGTGTTGGCAGGGATCAGCAGCCTGTGGACACCAAAAACAGCTTTTGCTGGTGCCTTCCCTTCACCCCTGCTCCTGGGACCTCTTCATTCACTCCTCTCCCGTGCTATTTTTCTCTCCTTTCTACGTTCCTTCTTCCACTTCATTTCTTTTCCCTTTTTGGCTCTCTTTTCCCCCACGGTCTCTCATTTGGGCTCCAAGTCAACCAATGGTGTGACCTAGCCTCACTCAGCCGTGTTGCTGGCACCTTTTGGTCCCGGCTCTATGATTGTGGTGGTGGCTGAAAACTTGGGTAGGCTTTATCCTAAGCTTCCATCCTTAGGAGATTGAAAAGAAAAAGTACTTTGGAGCTGGAGGTTTACTTTCTGCAAAGAAGAGGCAATGGAAGAGTTCTCTACTTTAAAAAAAATTTTTGTTCCTTCTCAACTGCCTAAGAGTGGAAGGACCCCTTCATTAGGAAGAGCTGTTGTTGCCTTGGGAAGCCATCCTGACTTTTAAAAATATGGGTTCTTTCTCAGTGCCGTGAAAATAGAATTCACATCCCAGGATAAGTGGGAAATGCCAAACTATTAATAGCTAGTTTTATGTCTTGCTGGGCCTCATTGAAGAAATGACAGCTAGACAGGGGTCTAGCCCCTGGAGTGCTGAGGCCATGATGACTCTCTGTGACTCTGGGCAAAGCACATAGCTACTCTCTGTCTTACTTTACTTACAAAATATGAATGAAAATAACTGCCTGTTGTGCCCAGTAAGGCTTTTGTTATTTTGTAGATTTTATGGGCATTAATGTTATTTTATACTGTTTTGGGGGAAAAAAATCAGAAAGTACTATATGAGTGTGAATTTTATTTATCTTGGACAAAACAAAATGTACTGTCCAAATGCTCTCAAAATATTTTTCATTATGGTTATATTCCTCAGCTTGGTAGTAGTAGTTGCTGTTTCTTTGGTTTTGTTTTTAAAAAGTCAAATCATGAGATGCATGAGTAAAAGGATAATGTTGATCATTTTATTATTTGGTAAATATTGGAGTAAGTACTCAAACACTTAGCCTAGTTTTGAAATGTTTATGATACATTGAATAATCATACAAATAGCACTACGGATGTGTTTTGGTATTTTCTCAAGTCTCAGTCTCTACAATAACACAGATTTCCGGGTCTGAGTTATGCTTGTATATAAAGTATTACATGCTGTCCTGCTTTCTGAGTCATCCTTGAAACCCAAGATTTGTGTTTGGGTTCTCTACTAGATCTTGTTTTGAGGCAGTGGAGTTTTCCTAAATATAAGCCAAATGGGTGACTATCTTGTATGGGACCCTGTTTTCTCAGTTGTGCAGAAGAAATACTCACAGTAGGTTAGAAATGCATTTTAATGATATTAATTTAATTATCACTCTTTCTATAATAATTCTTAATGTACTTTCATGTACTTAATGTACTTTCTGAATTTTTTATTAGACAGAAAAAATGTCGTCCTAAAATTTTCACAAATGTACTTCAAAATAGGGTACTTCATGGTAAAATAATAACCATGAGTGCCTAATTTGTCCATTAAATAGTCTGTTCTCTTGAGAATGCCTGTGCTTCTTCACTCTGACTTGAATGTTTTGATTGATTCTGAAACCATTTTCTGGGACTAATTGGTGCCAACTTTTAACAGGCATTTTGGAAGAGTTTGGTTGCTTTAAAAACTTTCCAGAAACCACTCAATAATAATGGCTTAAGAGCTTTGCAACAAATGACGTTGCTGTTGTCTGGGCTTTGAGGCCGATATCCCAACAAAATCCCTTTTGTCAATATATTCATAGTTGACTTGTCTGCCTAAAGTTAGGATTAAGCTAGGAAGCTCACTAATATTGTTATTTTTCAGATAAATTCATCTAATTTAGTAGGTTTTTTTTGCTGTGTTTTTCAACAGAGACTTTTGCTTACAAGATGAGTCTAGAAAATATAATACTCATATCACTCTTCAGGGAGCAGCCAAAGTGCCTTTTCTTCCCTTTTCTTTCTTCCCTTTTCTTAGCCATCCTGAGGAGGAGAAGATCCCAAAGGCAGGAGGCTGGAAAGGCCGTGGCCTTGGAGACCAGGACACTGCGTGCTCTTTCACTTGAGGCATATCACTTGGCCTCTCTGACCTGTTTTCACACCTGTAAAATGATGTGGTTGGACTAGATGTTTAATGTGTTGTTTTCTTTCTAGGTCAAATTTTGTGATCTGAAGTGTCAATTCTATATCAAAATTGGAGTAAAAAGTAGATAGTGTACTCAGGTGCTTCTGATGAAGGCCCATTTTCTAAATGGACTGGACTGTTCATTCACGTTGTTGTTGGGTTTTTTTATTCCTAACCCTCACCCTAAGCCCGAGCTCACCAACACTCCCAGCCTGGTACCTGCTTCCTGCTGTGTCCGTGCACTCTGCTCTGCAGCCTGGTCCTTTTCTTATCTCCATCCAAGTGCTTTCTGTTTAGCATTTATTCAGAATTTTTGGAGTATTAACTGTGTGCCAGACGATGTGTAGGCACCGAGAGTATAAAGATAAAGAAGTCACGGCACTTATTTGGGATGTCTGCAAAAACAAGATGTCGTCAGGAGGACCAAGGGAATCTAGAGCAGCAGGAGTAGCAGCCACTCTGCTGATATTGCTGCATAAAGTTATTTTTTAACGGTTGACGATCCTTGTACCACTATTCATTAAGCACTCATTGTGTGCCAGCTACTAAACAGGAGAACAGCGATGGGCACAACTCTGTCCTGCTGTGTGTGTGGAGCTCACGTTCTTCTGCTGGTGGGTGGATAGATAATCAGTTTATAATCAAGCACATAAGTAACAGATTCAATGGTGAAAAGAGCTCTGGAAAAAAAGAAAGCAGAGTGTGGAGATTGAGAGCAGGGCAGGGAAAGGCTTCATGATAAGGTGTGAGGGAGACGAACTACAAAGGAAGCACGTAGGGGAGAGCTGGAGGCAGGATTGTGCTGGGCCTGTGCTTGGCTTGTATAAGGCGCAAAGGGGTGTCCACTGTGGCTGGACCCCAGTGATGAGGGATGGATGCAAGAGATGAAATCAGAGATGGCGCTGGACCAGATCATGTAGGGCTTCTGGGGCCGTTGTATGAGATGGAAGGTCACCAGAGGGTTTTGAAATAGGAGGAACGTGATCTAATGTATATGCTATGTCCAGAAAAGATTGGAGGGAGTCAGAAGTGTAAGTAAGGAGGCCAGCGGGAGATAATCCAGGTGAGAGACGACCGTAGCTTGGAGCCAGATGGTAGGAGCAGTCAGACTGTGATTTATCCTGAAATTGGAACTAGCAGGGTTTGCTGATGGCGATGGCATGGCGGTGGTGGGGCAGCAGGGAGAGAAAGACAGCGGTTAAGGGCACCTGCAGTTCTGTTCTGTTTCTCTACCCTCCTCTCCCACCAAAGGGAAGAATGGAACCATCGTTTTCTGAGGTTGGCAAGGTAAAGAAAAGCAGATTTGGGGGGTGGAGGTATGAATATTGGGAAGTTCATCTGGACCTGCTAAGTTTGACATGCTGATTAGACCTCCAAGTGGAGGCGTTGAACAGTTGGATGACGTGAGTCTGGAGTTGAGGGGAGTGGTTAGGGTTGGAGATTTAACTTTGGGAGTATAAGCATAAATTGACTGAAAGGAAGTCCTTCATATACTCGTAACATAACCCAAAAGACTAGAGAAGAACAATTGGACCCCACCCACGCGCTGTCAGCACTGTTGACCCTTTCCTATATAATGCATTCTGTCATCGATTACTATTTGGCTTTTAGATTTTTTTTCTTTCTTGTCTCCTTTTCTTTCATTTCCTTTTTGTCCCTTTTGTAGATTTATTCTGTGGTTATTGGAGCGCCTGGCTTGGTTTCAGGAATAGGATGGTCATTATCATTTTGGCCTTTCCTCCCTATTTTCTTTGTCTCTGGCTGCAGTAACTTTTTCATCATTAAAACATTTTTGCTGGGTTTCTTGAACACTTTCCAGTTTTGTGAAACATTAAGTTGCTTTCTCTGTGAAGGTCTGTGAGAATGTGGTTACAAAGGGCGATTTACTCATGAGGCAGATGACAGTGATTCAGTCCCTGCTCCCTATTGTTCTGTCTCTTCATCTAGTGTTTATAAACACTGTTTTCTTTGTTCTGAACAATTTCTGTAGATAGTTAAACCACCACTTATTTCTCCCATCCCTTTATTAATATGTATATAAAGTAGAAAGCACATTAGTTTCTTCTTTAAGATTCTTTATTGTAAATCCCAGTAGAATTTTTATTCTTTTTCTGGCTGATTTTATTCTCCACTTTTTTTAATGTCACATTCTCCCTTAATCGTACTTTGCATTGTTTTGGAGAAGCAGCACTATTACAGATCCTTCTTTTCAGTGTGGAGATAAAAGAGCTGAGGTCAGCCAGTCTTTCTCTGAGGGAAGTTAATTTGCTTCTCTCACAAGAGAGGGTGGGCATTGGCAGAAGCTGCTGGCAGCACTTGGAGTAAGAGACAGTGGTACCTCCAGGCTCTGTGTTGATAGGGAAAACTTGAAGAGAACTCCAGCAAAGAGCCACTTTTTAATACTGCCAAAACCTGTCCCAGGGTAATTCACATTCAGAATGGGGAAGCTAGAATAAAGTCTGTGGATATTCATTTTAGTTGATGAATACACTTGAGTCAAACACGGAATTCTTTTAGTGTTTCGAAAAAATTCTAAGCTTGAACCAACAAGTTTTTGTATATTTACTGTACCTCCTAGCTTTGATGCGGCACCATCATTGGTAAAATGGTAGGTCTTCTGGACAACTTGGTTAAGATGGCCTGGGGCCTGATAGCGTTAGTTCTTGCCTCAGAGATGGTAGATGTTGTCAGAGAATCGATCAGGGGCTTCACTGACTTGTCTTCTCTCCCCTTCCTCCCACCCACTTCCTGGAGAAACAGGACTGCAGGCACAGCCAGCAACAAACTGTGGTATGCCTCGCTGGCCCTGGTGACGCTCGTCATGTACTCCATTGCCACCGGAGGCTTGATTTTGATGGCGGTGTTTTATACACAGAAAGATGGCTGCATGGAAAACAAAATTCTCCTGGGGGCAAACGGAGGCCTGTGTCTGCTAATTTCAGTGGTAGCCATCTTGCCCTGTGTCCAAAATCGTAAGCACAGTTTTTTCTATTCTTCCTTATTTATGTTATAAGTGTCTTTGAGCTAATCCAATTTTTTAAAAAAATTATGGTCATTCCTTAACATGCCGTGGAGAGGTCAGCAATAGGAAAGGTGAGATTCCAGTCTCCTCTTCATATCCCACACTTGGGCTGAATGTGACAGTCAACCATGCCTCATGTTGAGAAAGATCTGAACATAGTGAAGTCAATAAATAAGGTGATAAATATTGCCATTATTAAATCATGTACCATAAGGAGCCTTTAAATGGAAAATGCTCTTAGTGTGTATTAAGTTCTTCTCTATAATCCCTGTGTAAAACTTGAATGAGAAGGCTCCGGAAGGAGCTGTTTCTGGGTTCATCTTTCACTCAAGGCCTGTGGACCAGAAATCAGGGATGGTGTGATCTAGGAGTCAGGAAGCGGGAAATCCGATCCTGACGCAGCCAGCAGCCGGCCCCCTGAGCTAACCTTCCTCAGACTCAAGTCCTTCCTCAGCAAGGCCAACAGAAACCTGTGAGCCTGACCTTGCTCGTGGGTGTTTCAAAGCCAAAAGGAAGAGATGATGATGGGATTTGAAAGTGCTTTAGAAAGCATAGGTCTAGATTGTCTTCTATAAACGACTGATATCTGAAGTCAGTCTGCTGTCTTTGGTTGTAGAGAGAAGTGTCCCTTCCTGTCTAGTGTAGCTCTCTTACTCTACAGTAAAATGTAGGTATCTGTAGGTCTTTTGTAGGTGTCTAACTCTATAGATGATGAAAATGCACATGACATTCATGTTTCTGGATAGGAAAAGGAAAATATGGCCAAAAATGTATAGCCCCTTGAATCCTTTCTAAAGTGGTGATTTATTCATTTATTTATTCATTTATTTTTTTTGCTGAAGAAGATTCACCCTGAGCTAACATCTGTTGCCAATCTGCCTCTTTTTGTATGTGAGCCACTGCCATGACATCGCCACTGACAGATGTGTGGTGTGGTAGGTCTGCCCCTGGGAACTGAAACCCAGGCTGCCAAAGCAGAGGGTGCAGAACTTAACCACTAGGCCACTGGGGCTGGCCCTAAAATGGTGATTTAAAAAGGCCGCTGGTATTGAATAATTTAAAAGTTTTTCTGTACTAAAAATTTCAAGTCCATTATTGAAATTGAGAGTAGTATTATCCCAATCCCTTTAATTGGTCAGTTAAGAATTTCCTAAAATGTTATTAGTATTCAGATTAAAATATCCTTTGGCTTAAATCCTACCTTTTGAAATAGTTATAATATTTTGAAATATTTGGTTTAATGCCATTCATTAGGTGCTAAGGTAAATCTTATTCCCATGCCAAAGAGCAACTTTATAAAAGGGTCCATTTCTATATCTTTATTGTTCATTATAATTTAATAATTTTAATTCTGGCAACAAATTTAACCAGAGGAAAGACTGGGTAAAACTAAATCCTTTCATGTCAACAGCTGGTTGAAATTTCACCAAAAAATGTTAAATCCCTTTTATCACATCCTGGTTACTCTCAACCATCCAGACACTTAGTTTAATTTAAATATTGTAACATTAAAGGCCTTCTGCCGATGAATGCTGAGCCCCATCTCCTTCCTCTTGGGCCTGGACCAACTCTGATATTCCCAAAGGGTTTTGTCCCTTGACAGATAAGGGCTATTTTCCACTGTCATGGACTGTAAGTATCTGATGACCTTGTAGAATCGGAATCCATGCCCTGTGAAATCTTTCATTTACCCCACTAAGCTATGTGATCTCACAAGTAATGATAGTCAATTTTCTTCTGAGATTTTGTGATTTAAGAACTAATGTTACGAATCTCAGGGGGACGAGGCAGTATGTTTAAGTACAGCTGTAGTTGTTATCAAAATAAGGTGTTGGTAGAGAACTTGGCAGAATGCGGCGTCCCTACGATAGCAGTGAGGGTCAGTGTATAACTCCCTCCCCCTCAAGTCTTTTTAGTGTTATCTGAGAAAGACATTATATACCCTTCTTTCCTTTAAAGGTGAGGGTCCAAGTTGGAGGAATATCATTTAGGGGATGGGAAGACCTGTTTTTTTTTTTGGTATATACTTTCTTGTTGAAATTTAAAACACTGACTTAAAGCGTGTCTCTTGTCGTTTTCCAGGACAGCCGAACTCCGGCTTGCTGCAGTCGGGTCTCATAAGCTGCTATGTCACGTACCTCACTTTCTCGGCTCTGTCCAGCAAACCTGTAGAAGTAGGTAAGCCAGCCTTGTTAGGGAGCGTGTGCTTGCAGTATGAATATTTTCATTTGTGGAGGAAGAAATATGTCTCTGTGAGCTATTGTTTAAAATCAGGGATGTAATAAATCAAGCTGAGCCTGTGTTTCTCCAGGGGTGGCGTTGAAGGCTGAGTAATTAATGATTGGAGGTGCCGGAAGTTGAACCCAGGGCCTCATGCATGCCAAGCACGTGCTCTCCCACTGAGCTGTGCCCCCTTGCTTGCAATAAATCAAAATAGAGAGAGGGTCTAGACTTTTTCATTAAATAAAGTCCTTAAGGTGGGAAGGTGGGATATGATAATGAAAATTCCTTCCTTTGAGCCTTCCTGCTGTGGAGGAAAGACATGGACAGCCGTGGGCTGTTGAAATTGCTTTTAGGCCTGATCTACATTTTCCTGCTCTGTGTTTTCAAGGAACATTTGTGTTGTGCTTTGTTTATTTTGTTTTGGTTTTTAGCAGGTTATTAATTTACTTTTCTTCAGGTGGTCGTTTCTCTGACTGTAACAGAGAGAGTGGAAAGAGCGTAGGAGTGGGAAGCAGGAGACAGGCTTTGAGCCCAGCTGCACCCTTTGCTGGCTGTGTGACCTTGAATTGCCATCTTAAATGACATTTATTTCTAGAGACGACAGAGCATGCATGGGCTTTGGGGTTGGACTGCCTGGGTTTATAGCCTGGTTCTGCCACCTACGTAACTTGTACAAAGTGACTTACCTTTCTCCGCCCAGACAACTCACCTTTAAAATAAGAATTTTAATTATTATTTTTACCAGATTATTAGGTAAGATTCCTATTTTATAAGGTGGTTTTTAAGAATTCAGTGAGTATGTGTGTATATGTATATGTAGGTACGGTTCCTGGCACGTGGTGTGCGCTGTACAAGGGTTAGCTTTTATTGTTGCAGAGCAGTGGCCGTGAGTCCTGGAGAGTTGGAAAACATGATTATGTTATAGGTGTTGTTAGATGAGCCTTGGAGCCTTGCCAGTAAAAGACCAAATCTTATTTTGACCTCCAAACTCGTCCTATTTCATCGTCTTTATCACTTTTGTAATATATAAATGTATACACACACATATATGCACATAAGTGTATATAAATGTGTGCATGTTTGCATACATTTGATCTTGTATAAATCAAGTTAAATAAATGTACCCTTTTCTCTAAAATAGAAAATTGAAGTTTTTAAATTTAGAAAGCAAATGCAAAGATAATTTTGAAAGTTTTAGCATATACATGTGCTGTGTATGGGTCTTGTCTTTATAGCCATTTATAGTGCAGAGTGATATAACTGTTGGTCATATTAACTATAGTCTATCATGGATATAATTTTTTTTTTTTTAAAAATCTTTCTTGGATCTGTAAGTTTATTTAAATCTTGTCTCCCTAAGACTTTCTTTTATGCCTGTTTATTAATCTGTGGTTTTGATTTAATGGGGTTTTTGGTTACAGAATTTTTTTTTAATGGCAGCTATCACTTAAAAACAGAAAAAAACTTCTATTTTTAATTTTGGGTGGTACTACTTAAATAACAAAGTCCATATTTTGGTCAGTTTTTTAAAAAGCATTTTTCATTGGCCTGAGAATAAAGATTCCCTAAACCACAGCCTACACAGTTATGTTTACTGTGTCAAGTGTGAGTACCAGTGATAATTTTAGTCCAACTTCAAACACTTAGGCTGTGCATGTTTGTAAAATGGTTTCTAGACTGTTATTTTATGTTTCTGTTCCTGATTTTTGGGTACAGTTGGCCATCAGACCCAGCTTGTGGGTTCAAAATTGAAGACTCTGTTAGATAAAAAGTAAAATACCACTCCTGGTCGTGTTATAGAAATCTTTGTGATGTAGCCTCTCAAAGTTTTAAAAAATCCAGACCACCTCGGAGGTTCCCGGGGTGCAGCCTGAAAGATGTCATGACCATCCTGTTACCGATGGTAAAACGACTTCTCATCTGGGTGGAGGCTGTTGGCCAGACGGCTCTTATGCTGCTGGTACGTGTTTGATTGGTGAGTAGCCTCGACAGTCCTCCAGAGAGGACAGACACGGAGCAGGCTCTCAATTATCTGCACGCCACCTCTGTTCAGAGGCTGCCACATCAAATGGATCTAAATTTACTTTGTATTATTGTTTAAACAGTACTGAAAAAGAGCAAGACTCTTTAAGGTCCTGGAACTGAAGAACCCTTTAGCACTAAGCTGGAATCTGAGGGTCTTGCTCTGAGAGGGTGCTGAGATGGGAGAGGGGTACTCGGACATAGCAGCAGTCTAGTCTGAGTCGAGTCAGACTGTGGAGTGGAAGTTCCCAGTGATAAGTCTTCGCTATTCTAAGCTACCTGAATTTTCCCAGAATGAATGCGTCTGTGAGTTACAACAGGCTTTTCTAATTTGACTATGATTACTTTGTCTTTTCTTTACAAGTTCTAGATGAACATGGGAAGAACGTTACGATCTGTGTGCCTGACTTTGGTCAGGACCTGTACAGAGACGAAAACTTGGTGACTGGACTGGGTACCGCTCTCTTAATTGCGTGCATCTTATATTCATGGTAAGTCTTAGGAGTTACCTGAGGCTGTCTTTGCAGACTTTAAAAGTACAGGAGAAGAATTTAAATAAGTTTCAGCAGCCATGAGGCAGCAAAACAAATACCATCTGAGGAAGAGGGAAAATAGCCCGAAGTAAAAAGGTAGTCTTACACCATGAAATCTAGGTGTTTGGACTTTATTTGCCTTACTCGTATTTATATGGGGTAAATAAATATGGTATGTTGCCATCCTTTAAAAGACAGTTGATTGTTACTTGCTAAAGCATTATTGGAGGACAGAGGAGCACAAAGTGAGGAAGAGATGGTATGAGCCAGGATGTTTTGGCAACTTTCTAATCCAAGGGAAATACCATTTGTTTTGCTGTTGATGGAAAGAGTACGAAGCACTACACACAGGGTCATTTTGTGCTTGGTCCAAGAAAGACAGGAAACGTCCCTTCTCTTTTATGTAAAACCCCACAGTGCTGTTAAGGAGGGGAGGCAGCTGCTAAAAGTCCGTATGACATTTCAGATGCTCATGGTGGGGTTGATGCCACCTTTAAGATGTTTCACAGATTGCTAGAAGGCTAGAAAAGGACAGAAATGATTAACTTCTCATTCTGGGTACATATTTCACTGGTAATTGAACTTGCCTTTGACAGTCACCTTTTCCCATTTAGGTTTTACTTCTGTGTTTTATATTTTGTGTGTTATGTTTCAGCATATAAAGATGTCAGCTTGTCATAGGAGCGTTATAATCTTCCTTTGGCTAAAACTAAACAATCCTGGTGATGATAGCTTGCATAAATAAAATGTCTGTCTGAGGACGTTGGCGTTTTCTCTTACGGCTTCTAACACCCCTAATGCTAGGAGGGGACCAACAGACACAGACATCTTAGAGACCGGAGAGCGGAGTTGTGTCAAGTACTTGTTCAGTCGTGCGCGCGCCGTAGACTGCTTGCTGTGCTGCAGGTGGTGGTTACAACGAAGGCTGTGTAGCACTGATTCCCAGTCTGTCTCTGACGTGGTGACAGTCTCCTTGTTGCAGCAGAAGGGACGTGGTGCCCACTTTCAGGCCTTCGTTTTTATTAACTCCGTAATTGTTCAGTAAGTATCTGCTGTGTACTCAGCAGCAGATGGAGTTTGGGCCCAAGTCAATGAATGTTTTCAGGAAACTACCATAAAGCCACCCAAATTTTGAGTCCTGATTCTTAGGTCCTCTTGCAAGTGTTTGCTTGCTGAGACTGTTATTGTTGGGCTTTGGGGAGAAATGGGAGCAACATGGCTAATTTTATTGGTCACTCCGTTTTTTTTTTTGTATTGATAGATAAAAAATATTGGTAAATCAAGTGAGGAGAAAGTGGGTTACTAAAGTGTAAATGTAGGGGCCGGCCCAGTGGCGCAAGCGGTTAAGTGTGCGCCCTCTGCTGCGGCAGCCCGGGGTTCGCTGGTTCGGATCCCGGGCACGCACCGACGCACTGCTTGGCAAGCCATGCTGTGGCGGCATCCCATATAAAGTGGAGGAAGATGGGCACGGATGTTAGCCCAGGGCCAGTCTTCCTCAGCTAAAAGAGGAGGATTGGCAGATGATAGCACAGGGCTGATCTCCTCACAAAAAAAATAAAGTGTAAATATAGAATATTCTATTTTTAAAATAAAATATATTATGTTTACATAGATACAAAAAATCCTGGAAGGAGATAAACCACACTTAAAATAATGGTGGTGTTAGGGATAACTTATTTTTTTCTCTTGTACCGCTTTTTTGTTAAAAAATTATTTTTACAGTGAGCTAGCATTTCTTGTTTGTTTTTGTATTATCAGAAAAAAGCTATAGGGGCTGGCCCCGTGGCTTAGCGGTTAAGCGCGTGTGCTCCGCTACTGGCGGCCCGGGTTCGGATCCTGGGTGCGCACTGACGCACCACTTCTCTGGCCATGCTGAGGCCGCGTCCCACATACAGCAACTAGAAGGGTGTGCAACTGTGACATACAACTAGCCACTGGGGCTTTGGGGAAAAAAAAGGAGGAGGATTGGCAATAGATGTTAGCTCAGAGCCGGTCTTCCTCAGCAAAAAGAGGAGGATTAGCACAGATGTTAGCTCACGGCTAATCTTCCTCACAAAAAAAGAAAAAAGCTATAAAGATAACTTGACAGAATAAAATCATATGTTTTTGTGGGTTGCTGGATGCCTAATAGCACATGAAAAAAATGTTTGCCCCTCAGATAAAACAAGGCTTAGATTTGCTATAAACCCATTGATGGAAAGGGGCAAAAATTCTACTTAGCAGGCTGATAGAATTGCCACAAATGGCGTTATTTTGCATCGCAGAATTTTCACCCTGTTCGATTTTTGCTGCCACCCTTGAGTGAAAGATGATAAATAAAACATTGCCTCTTCTGGAATTCAGAGGCACCCTAGTGGAGGTTGGTATGGTCTAGTCTGATGTTCCCAAAAGATAACAATTTTCAAAGCTGACGGATGCTACTTAAAACCTCTAAATGCCAATAGCAAACGTTATTGAATGCTGGTCATTAAACTGCAAAACCGTTAGTGCCCTGTGGCATGAGGAGACGGACAGCAGCCGCACCGAGTGGAGAGGAGGAGACACCGGGCAGCTCTGGGCTGTTCGTGCAACACGTGGCCTGAGCACAGTCCCTGCGACGGCAGCTGGTTCCTCCCAGGGGTCAGTGAAGGCCGCGCTGGGATCTGGGGGTTAGTGTTTGCTGGGATCATCCATTGTAGCTCCAGGAGGAGCCAGCTCACTGAACTCTATAACCAGCATCTTGGAGCTCACAGGGAAGTGAGTTCAGGCCTGTAGGGCCTTGAAAAAAGGGAATGCTGCTGGGGTGGGAGGCGCCCGGTTAGGAGGCTTTCACATCTTGACTCCTAGGGTTTACCTCTTCCTCCCAGACTCAGAGGAATGAAAGGGGGGAAGACGTTACAAAAAGAGGCTAGATGGACACTGTCACTTGAACACAATTGCAGGAATATCTAGAATTCTTGATAGAAATTATAGGACGCCACAAGACTGGATAGTGTGTACATTAAAGGGAGAAGCAATCTCCCATTTTCAATGAAGTCCAAGATGGCCTGGGGCTGACTTTTCTGTAAGGTCATAGAAGGCTCACTGCATTATCTTCTCACCCCTCTGGAGTCCCCTCTAAACATCCCGCCCAACAACACACACACACACTTCTTTAGGGGGCTGTCATGAGGACCTCCATCCTCAGGTTCTGGTTTTCTGTCCCCAGTCCTACTTCTGGCACACTCACTGTGATTATATCTTATTCTTCGCTGTCTCAGCGTGGAAGAAGGGGTCAGCCAAAACCCACTCCCTGGCTTTTTGACAGGCTGCCCTTGCTCCAGAAGCCCCTTCTACTGTACCCAGGCATTACTGCTGTGAAGAAGCATCATGACTTGGACCCATGCACGAGTTCCCCAATGGCTCCTTCTGTAGGCCGAGGCCCCCACGCCCCTTAGCCCTGGATCCTTGCTGTGACAGGCCCCAGCTTCCTCCAACTATTCCTAATTCCCTCCTTGGTCTCTGGATTTTGATTGAAATTATTATTCTGTTGGCTTCAAGTTCAAGCTGCCAGGTTGGACAGGATCCTGGGGTCAATCAAGTTCAATCCCCTCATTGTACATAAAAGGAAACTGAGGCATGGAGCCGATCCTGTAGCTCTCCACCCCCAATTTCAGGAAACCTTCCTCAAGTCTCCTTTGCTGGAGTGTTTGGAGAGACGGGTCATTTTCTTTTTCCTGGGCTGGCTTGGAGTAAGGTAGGTTCTTCACTGAGGTAGAAGGGTAAGCCGGATGACTCGCATAATTATATTATTAGGAGGCATTTGTGCTGGAAGACAGTCCCTGGCTACTTCAGTTTTAGCTATGCATAAGAGAAAAAATATTATTTAAGCTGTCTAGGAATTTGAATACAAGATTAGAAAAACTAAGAATCTTTATAAAATGTCAAACAACTTACTAGTTCAAAATGGGACGTTCACAGCAATATGGCAGACCATGTGAAATAGATACAAGGTTGGTACAATGGCATTGGAGAGAAGATTGGCTTAAACTGAGAAAAGTTGGCAAATCAAGGAGGGGTATCTATTCTTTTGGTGTGTTCTGGATCTGCTACTCTTATTTAGGAAAAAAGGGAGGGGGGCACTGTATCTTTATTTTGGGATTCGTGCCACTCCCTAAACTACCAGCTAGAAATGTCCATGGCTCTGTGTCAGGGGGCATGTTGAGGTGCGCCTCCAGCTCATATAGGACTCTGGTCTCCTTTGGGAGCTCTGAGTCACCAATTACACGGTACGGGAAACATAATTGAACTTCATCACACAAAGGCTGGGAATAGTCACAAGATCTCTCAAGGGCCTGCCCTGTAACTTTGTCAGGGAGGCAGAATAGAATGTGTGGTCTCCAACCAGAAAGTCTGGACGTGGTTTTTAGAGATTTTCTGTCATCTAGGGGAGTTTGGCCAGTTCTAAAGCAGCTGAAGCAGATACAGAGGGGTACCCGCATTTCGAATCTCTCTGTCAATATGGAAGAGGTCCTGGGCACGGCAGTGGTTCCCAGGTTGGTTGTCACAGACTGCAAGGCACCACTGGCTTTTTGTGAGTGGGGGTGAGAGAGAGTCAACACACTCGGTGCACTTGACATTCTCTGTACCGTAAAAACGTTGTCTCAACCAAATGCTGTTAGTCTCCTTCCACCCCGCACAGGAAGGACTGGGTTAAAGTCATTCATACCTTAGCCGTGGAAGAGAAGAGGATAGGGATAATCAGGGAATTGTTTCATAGCAACTTGTCTTGCACTGACCAAACAGATGGGTCAGTTATAGCCAGAATGCAGACAATAAGAATTTGTGATGCCTTTTAAGAGCTTGTAAAAACAATGTTTTCTTGATAATTCCACGAAGAGTGTTTTGCAGGGAAAGGCCATGACTGAATAAAGACCTTGTTTTTCAGTGATATCTATACTCGTAGAAGTCACGTGTCACTAACGATGAACTGAATATAGGTATTTTTAGAAGTAAGAAGGAATACTTCCCCGTTCAGTGCTCTCTGATGGTGGAAGTGAAGTGGCAAAGGTACCAGAATCAAGTTTGTTTTTCTGAAACCATTTTATTCCAAAGACCTTGTAAAATGGAATATTTATTCTAGCTCTTTAAAGAAGGAATATCGTCTTTCAGATGAAAATTCCAGATATTAATCTCTTCCTAAAATTGAAAGTTACATCCCCACCCCCATGGAAACTATATACTGTATTAAATCATAATTCACATGCACAAAATATAGCACACTCATAAATGCAGGAGCAAGGCGTATGTCTTCCTTGGGTGCACAGCCCTTGGGAAACGTCTCTGTCATTCCTCTGACCGGGCACAAAGTCGGGAAGTGGGGGTGGAGTGGGCCTTGATTAGCATCCGTCTGTTCACAGCAGAAATGAAAGTGATGCTTATTGGGCTTGAGTGGAGCACAAAAGAAGCAATGCGCTTGGATCCCAGAGGACCTTTTGGTGAGGAAGGATTTTTATTGTTTATTTGCATCTCACTGATCTCTTCTCTCCTTGGAAAAGAGGAGGAGAAGGAGTGGAGAAGGCAGTGTTGCCTCACGTGGGTTATTTGGTTGAAATGAGTCTGTTAATTCCTGCCTCTCCACTAGCCAACAACACCCGCCTCTGCGTCGTTGGTCTTTTTCACTGAGTCCCCAGTGCTTAGAACAGGGTCTGACGCATGGCAGGCCTTCAGCAAATATTTCCTAAATGAACCTATACATTTAGCTGGAACTCCAAGTATTGTATATATTTCTATTTGCTTAAAATGTTCCCCCCTACTTTTTTTTCCAGGAAAAATAAATACCTTTTTTACCCCCGTAAGCCAAATTTTATAGCATTTTGTCTTTGTAGATATGGGGAACGTGGTGGGAAGAGTTTTTTTTGTTTTTGTTTTTGGTTTTTTTTTGTGTTTTGATCAGCCCTGTGCTAACATCTGCCAATCCTCCTCTTTTTGCTGAGGAAGACTGGCCCTGGGCTAACATCCGTGCCCATCTTCCTCCACTTTATATGGGACACCGCCACAGCATGGCTTGCCAAGCAGTGCGTTGGTGCGCGCCCGGGATCCGAACCGGCGAATCCTGGGCTGCCGCAGTGGAGCGCGCGCACTTAACCGCTTGGGCCACCGGGCCGGCCCCGGAAGAGTTTTTTTAATCATACTGACACCTACATACTCAGTGTTGAATTTCCCAACAGAAAACCTTGTTCTGCCATAGGCTGATTATCACAGTAAATAACTGTGACCTCTGCTTTTCAGGCCTTTGCTTTTTATTGCCGTCTCTGGGTTCTTTCATTTCTTTTGTGAGACTAGTCAAAGGGAGGGGAAAGATAAAAGCAAAATCGGAAAATTATTTTGGCATTTGAGGGAGAAGAAGCAAAAACCAATAGTGAAAATCAAGATTACAGGACCAAGAGACATCTTATTTCTTACCTACAAATTTCTCTTGGCATAAAATGATCTAATGTAGTCCATATAAAAAGACATCAACTGTAGAATCGGTCTGCCGTTTTTGAAATAAAGTGGAATATTAAAACAGACTACAGTCATATGTTGCTTAATGACGGGGACATGTTCTGAAAGATGCATCGTTAGGCGATTTTGTCATTGTGCAATCATAGAGTGTACTTACACAAACCTACATGGTATAGCCTGCTACACACCTAGGCTCTGTGGTACTAATCTTATGGGATCCTATTGTATGTGCGGTCCATCGTTGACTGAAACATTATTATGTGGCACATGACTGTACTTCTATTTGAGCAGCCTGAACTGTAGGTTACAGCGAGCCTCTCCCTGGAGCATTGGCCGGGCGGCTCTGCCCTTTCTGTGATGTGATATGACACGTTATATGCTCTCTCCTTTTTGTTTGTTTCTTAGTTTGACATCGACAACAAGATCAAGTTCTGATGCTCTGCAGGGGCGGTATGCAGCTCCTGAACTGGAAGTAAGTTCATTTCCTTTTCTTGTCCTGTTCATCTCAGAAGACCCATTTTTCAGGAAGCCTTTTTATGTTTATTTGCATTTTCATTGATCTGCATTTTATGATCCCATTTTTCTCCTTGGGGAAGAAGAATACAATTTTTGTACAAAAAAAGAAATGTCCTGTGTATACAATGGGATTAAAATGAACCTTGATTTTTCTCCAATAAAATTGGCCTCTTCTTATGTGGCGTCCTGTTGCCCATCTCCTACCAGAGGCCTGGTTAGCTTTATCATGCTTCTCTCTTCTCTTTTCCTTTGTCATAATGGAATATGTGTGGTGTTTTAAACTTCTAGTCCATTCCTTTGTTTTATACCTGTCTGTGCCCTCCATACATAGCACGACCACGAGGTTATATACTAGCTGTTTTGGAGGAGGAGAGAAAGATGAGGGAGGAAAGGAACAAGCATTTGCTCTGTGCCACACTCCTGAGCATCGCCTATACATTAGCTTGTTTAACTGCATCAGTTCCACCCCCTGGGCCTTTCATTGGGAACAGGATTGTGAACAACGCGGGTCCCAAGAATCAGGGTAGTCCGCAGATGTCTGTTATTTTCTTACTTGTGTAAAAGTGTTTTTCTGGGGTCCTAAATGGAACACCCCCCAAACGTCCATCCAAAAAGGTCCAATCAGATGGAGGCAGGCAGGAAAAGACCCAGCCTTGACCCCAAGAATGGAAAGAATGAGAGGTTTCACTGAGGCCTAAGACATAGAGCACTTGCTGTGTGCCATGCACTGGTCTGAGCGCTATGTGTGTGATTTCGTTGAATCCTCATACAAACCCAATGAGGGTCTTATCTCCATTTTACAGAAGGGAAAAATAGAAACGTTAAGTCATTTATGCTTGATTCGTCAGCATGTAAACCGTGCACCCTGGCTCCAGAGTCTGTGTTCCTCACCACTGCTGCCCAGGAGCTCAGCTGCCGTCTCCTGGCCCTGCTGCTGACCCGGCCTGGCACCTGGCCCTGGCTGCACTCTAATCGCTTTCCCTGGGTGCAAGAGCCCTGCTGTCTGTGCAGAGATGGGCACTTTTCTCTGCAGCTGGGTCTCTGGGGATGGGCTTTCCTGCACCTGACCTAGAGATAGTGAACCATTATGAAGGGCTGTCAATCTGCCAGCATCATTCACCAGCTCTTTCTGTCACTTAAAAAAGGAGAGCACTGTGCTGAGTTTGAATAGGTTCCTGCCTATTCTGCAGAAGAGAATGGTCTCTAGAAGGCAGGCTTTTGTTCTCACCACTGACTGGGTGGCCACCTGCTGAGGCTGCACTGTTATGGTTTCAGTATCCCCATTGTGTACAGAGTTAAAGCTCAAAGAACAGTCTTTCAGTTAGATTTCAGAGAGGATGTTTTTCTTCTCATTCCAAGGAAAAACGTCCCAGTGTTTCCTTCGGAACTGGGGAGCAGGCAGCGTGGAAGTGGGTTTGCTGTCCTCGCATGATGTTTCACAGGATATACCTTTGAGAGAAAGTTAGTGGTTTCTTGTGGTTGCATGAGCTTCAAAAGAACGAGGACCCCAGCACACCGTGTCTTGGGCCCAATGAATGGATTAGCGAATCTCAGACTGTGTCCTTGATCCAAGATTCCGCCAGGGCCAATCCCTCTATTACAAGTTTCCTGGATGCAGGAGGGAAACCAGGCCTTGGCCTTGAGGTGTATAAATGGGCCGAAGGCTCAAGCTCCCACGTCCTTGTCTCTGGCTCTCTGTAGTAAAAATATCATCAGCCAGAAAGTGCTGAGGACCCAGAACTTCCCAGACTGTCTTGATACATGTAATGTTCCTTATTCTGTTTACCAGAGCCCTTCTGGAATCATGCAGTAATTTTCCATAACCTGATATATTTTTAACTAACTTGATTGTTTTGGGTAGGTCAGAAACATGGTACGAAATTTGAAACGTACCAAAGACTCTTCAAAGGACAGCATCCCGTCCAGCCCCGGCCCCGGCCCCCTGCCTCCATCGAGGCAGCAGTTCAGCAGCCTGATTTTCATAGGAGATGAGGCTAGGCCTCCTGCTCCCAGACTCCTTAGCTTTACCGGCTCTGGCTCTGTCGGGTCCGCCATCTCCTGGATGCTGCATGCTGCCTACTGCCTCTTGTGGATCTCAGAGTTCCCATCCTGCATTCTGTCTCAGCCCTGCCACTAAGCTAGTTTTGTGATATCAGGCCAGTTGTTTAACCTGCCTGGCCTCAGTTTCCTCAACTGTAAACAGGATAATAGCCCCAGCCTCCGAGGTAGAAGGGGACTGAATGGAGTAGGGAGTAGAGCAGAGCAGCAGGAGACAAGAGAGCATCTTGTCTCGCTCACCCTGCGTTTCGGGTTGAGTTCTCCAGAAGCAGCTGCCAAGATGGAGTGCAGGACGTGCAGGATATTTATTAGGGATCAACACATGTGGAAGGAAGGAAGGGGAAGAGGCAGCGTTGGGTAGAGGGTGAAATTGAAGGGTGCTGCAGGCTGGACAAAACCTCTGCCGACCCCGTGGGGGCTCCAGAGCAGATAGGACCCATCAGGGCTGTGCCCAGGGATCAGTGGCTGGGCCTTTACACCCCTGCCAGGAGCACTCAGTGTGGGATGCCCAGGAGGGGTTTGCTCTAGGGCAAGGCAACTCTGCAGCTGGGGCAGAGCCTGGAGCAGTGGGTTCCATCTGCTCCCAGCGCTCACAGTAGCTGAGCGAGCTCTCAGTGTGTGCCTTTAAAGGGGCTGCAGGTGGCTCACCTCCATGTCCACTGTATTTCCTGTCACCAGCACCTGAGCATCTGGGAAGAACAGATGCTTAGAACTTTCTGAAAGGGTAATGTGGGCAGTTCGGGGCCTGGAAAGTAGTTCAGGCAGGGGAAGGCGTGGCACGTGGGTGGCCTGCAGCGCTTTCCTGATGTGGAGAGCGAAGAACGGACAGCAGGCCACCTGACTGTTGGTTTTGCTTTCGCAGGTAGCTCGGTGTTGTTTTTGCTTTGGCCCCAGTGGAGAGGGTAAGTGGGGAGCTTTCCTTCTGTGCGTCCCTGTGGGCCTGCAGCCTTGTATCTCTAGTCTGTGGGCACAAGTAACTGAAATGGTAAGGGGCAATTTTTATTCCAAAGCTGGTTTACTGTTTGTATACTTTTCACATTCTTCCCAAAGGGTTGCTGCGTTTTATTTGCTTTGGTTCTGGCAGGCGAGAATCACTCTGTATTTTGGCTCATATTTGTTAAATTATCCAGTGAGGTTTAGAGAAGCAGGAAGTACATTTTTTAAAGGAACAATTTGGAAAATACCAAGAGGCCCCGACACCTCACTGTTGGACCATTTATTTCCTTGAACTTTCTTCTTGGATTGGAGGATCCTGGGGGCTTGGGTCTCTCTCTCACTTTCTTCTGAGCTTAAAATAAGCTTTGTTTTTAAGTTTCTCTTCTGCTCTGTTAAAATAAATGTGATGTTAGGTGACTCATCCTGTTAAGGAAGGTTCTGGGGTGGGTGGAGGTTTTGACTTAGGACATAGATGAAAATCACCTGAGGGTACAAATGGCTTTTGACATCTTTTCCACTCAGCAGCCCTTGGGGTGGAAATTAGTGAGTGTGGCTTTGCTAAAACAGCACGTGTGTGCGTGTTCATTCACTGAGTTTGCGCTGGCTTTGTGGTTCCCAGACACTGAAGAGCAGCAGAATGTGAAAGAGGGACCGCGGGTCATTTATGATGAGAAGAAGGGCACCGTCTACAGCTATTCCTATTTCCATTTCGTGTTCTTCTTGGCTTCCCTCTATGTGATGATGACCGTCACCAACTGGTTCAAGTGAGTGGCCTGTTGTCTTAGACGTTTCAACGGGGCAGTCTTTTAAAAATTCAAGTCAAGTCCTGTTCTTTCTTTCTTTCTTTCTTTATTTTGTGAGGAAGATCGGCCCTGAGCTGACATCTGCCAGTCCTCCTCTTTTTTTTTTTTTTTTTTTTGCTGAGGAAGACTGGCCCCGGGCTAACGTCCATGCCCATCTTCCTCTGCTTTATATGGGACGCCGCCACAGCATGGCTTGACAAGCGGTGCGTCGGTGCGCGCCTGGGATCCGAACTGGAGAACCCCAGTTCGGGCCACCGCAGCGTGTGCACTTAACTGCTTGTGCCACCGGGCCGGCCCCAAGTCCTGTTCTTTAAAGTGCTGAGACACAGCTCAAATCTGGAGTCCACTGAACTCCTCTCCAAGTCCTGCTGTCCTCACAACCTTTACAGAAGCAGTTCTGAGTTCTTAAAGTCTGTCAGCACGCTTTTAACCCTGGGAGTTGGCAGTGCTTACTGCGCCTTTAAGAAAATGGAAGGTTAACTCCGCCTGAGCAGCCTTGGAGAACACAGTAATAGTGTTGGAGGAAAAACTGGGAATTCTTAAGCAATCATCTGCTTTCAAGAAAGAGAAAATACCCGTCTTTCTACTTTGTATTTTGTCAGTCTTTTTTTTCCCTTTTTTACACTTTCATTACAAAAGTATGAAACATCTTTTTTTTAAAAAACTGGCTAATGTGGAAGTCTGAAAAGTAACAGAGAGCACCCTCGCCCAGTAACCACTGCTAACAACATGGTGTGCATCCTTTCATTTTCTGTGCATTTACAAGCCTATGTAATTTTTTTTTGACATAAATGCGATTACACATATTTTCCTTCTTGAGAGATCTTTTAACTTGGTGATACATGTTGTACCTGACTTCCCTGCCACTACATAGAGATTCTTTTTGTTTCTTTTTGGATCATTTTTTGACTGATCCAGAGTTTCTGTTGGATCATAATTTTTTATAACTTAGGATAGACATTCAGGCTCCTTGTGCTCTTTTATTCATTCATTCGACAAATATTGAGTGGCTCCTATGTGCACACTGTTCTGGGTGGCAGGGCTTATATTGTAATGGGGGAGAATCAAATCAAATCTAGTATGTCAGACCGTGATGAGTATGGGGAGAAAAATAAAATGAGGAAGAGGAATAAGGAGTGACCAGTGGGGTGGGGGTGGCGAGCAAAACAGTTTCAAACAGAGTGATCAGGAAGGTTTCATTGAAGAAATTCTTCCCAAACATCCTCCTGAGGGAGAAGGCGGGGGCAGAGTTTCTAATGTTTCCCAGTGATACTTTGAGAATTCCTGGAGACTTTCGCCTTGCGAAGCTTGAGGAAGAATAGAGGGAAGTACAAATGTTATTGAGGATATAGAGAGGTTGGAACTCTTACACTCCTGGTGGGATTGTAAAATGGTGCAGCCACTTTAGAAAACAGTTGGGCATTCCTCAAAATGTTAAACATAGAGTTTTGGTATGATCTGGCAATTCCACTCCTACATATATACCCATGAGAAAAACAGCAACGTTTGTCCACACAAGAACTTATACACAGACGTTCATAGCAGCATTATTCATAATCACCAAAAAGTGGGATCAACCCAAATGTCCACCAACTGATGAATGGATAAACAACATGTGCTGGAAGTGGGAGGGCAGCTAAAGGGTGCAGGATTTCTTTCTGGGGTGGTGAGAATGTTGTAAAATTGATTGTAGTGGTGGTTACACAAGTCTACGAACATAATAAATCGAATTGAATAAATTGAATAAATTGAATTGTACACTTTAAATGGATGTGAATTATATCTGAATTGAGTTGTTACGAAAAAAAGAAAGAAAGGCTGGAGGGGGCAGAAGCAGGGAGACACTTGGCGGAAGAGACCTTCTCCCCACCTGTTCTCTTCCTGCTCTGACCGTAGCCGGGTCTCTTGTTTCCACAGCTATGAAAGTGCCAACATCGAAACCTTCTTCAGCAGGAGCTGGTCCATCTTCTGGGTCAAGATGGCCTCCTGCTGGATGTGTGTGCTGTTATACCTGTGGACGCTGGCCGCTCCCCTCTGCTGTCCCTCTCGGCAGTTCTCCGTGTGAGGATCTGAGCAGCCCCCTTGGTTCAGCAGGCCTGCAGACTGGAAGTGACGTCCTTTGAACAGGTGTCCCAGGGGTCTGAGCAGTGACTGGCGCTTTGGGCAAGCTGGCATCCCCTGGCTGGCTTGAATGGGTCTGAAAAAGTTTTCAGAAAAAAATCTCCTAATCAGCTTTTTAATTCTGAAATTTGAAGAGAAACTATCAGTTTGTCCCCCCAAAATTGAAATTTTCAACCAAAGTGATTATAGGTGATAATATATTTTGTATGTGTTTTATACCTAAAAACCGAGATGGTAATTAGCTTAGTCTTCTCCTTCTTCATGTTTTTACCAAAACAGAGTTTGGGGCACAACATCTTAGCACAGGGATTAAAAACTTACTTTGTGTGGCCATCCTTCTTATTCTTGGAATAAAAAAATATGCCAAAATCGTGAGCCTTCAGCCTCTGCCAGAATGCAGGGGCTCCCACCCCTCGGCCTGCAGCCCCCTGCCCACGGCTCCCTGGTATTTATAGGGAACAAGAGGAAACACCTGCTTTGAACTCCACCTTTGTGCTGTTTCCTCCTGGCCCCCAGCATTTCCCTTCGAAGTTGTGATGCTGGGAATCAGACTTCGCTCTCTGCCCTTGCCCTTCCCAGAGGTCCCGCATCCTTCCTGGGTTCAGCATCTTTGTTATAATGTGAAGAAGCACAATTTGCCGTCACCGCCCGTGTGGCCCCTCACCGTGTTATCACTACCTGATCTGAGTTACTGCAATAAGTGTGACTCTTGTGGTGTTATTCACATGATTAGGGAACAATCTTCATGTTGTTTTCTTTGCCTTAACGGCGGAGGGCTATAGTTCTTACTCGTTTGTGCTGTTAATAGTAATAATACTTTAGGACCTTACCTGAAAAGCTGCTTCTTGGCTGAAGCCTGCTGCACCCCTTTTCCAGTTGTTAAGGTCAGCCCCCTGGTTTCTCCTCCACCTTGAGGCCTAAAAGCAAAAGCGCTTTTGTTTTCTAGATCTTTAATGCGACCACACCGTTCACGTCCATTGTGGGTTTTGGGGAGTAGGTTTTCTGAAGTGAAGATCCCAGGCAGCACTTCAGACAGGGCTGACCAGGTAAGGCCTATCGTACAAGTTGGGAAGTGACCACATATACTTAGAAGAAAAGGTGAGTGGTAGGGGCATTTAATTAAGCCATAAACAACATCCACAGAAATTTCTAGAATACATACTTGTGAAGTAATACTCATGAGATTTGACTTTAAGCAGCTGCCCAATATGTCCATTTTCAGTGTTGGTGTTCTCCGTCAGGGAAGAGTTTTTACTCAGTGGAAAGTCCATTAGCGACCCCAGTGGAGTCATGGTGGGGACGCTCCTGTTATTATTTCATTCAGGATGGAAAGAATCCTCTCGAGCTTCCTGGCAGAGAGGGTCTGAGAATGAGAGGACTCGGCCTGTGCTTTCTGTCTGTGCCCTACTGTACGCCTTGGCAGAAACGAGTCCCACCTAAGCTGGGCTCCAGTGTGCCAAAATGCCGGCCTGGGAAATTGGTCAAATTCTTCATTTCTACTCCTTTGCCCTCCTCCCAAGAAAACAAGGGGGGAAACAAATACAACAGATGAATTCCTCTAGGAATTGCCTTATTTACAATGTTTGTGATTCAGTTTTAAAAGGTACTCTTTATGTGTATGTGTGAGAGAGCCTTGTTTTGTAAACTTGATCAAGTTTCTTTTTTTATAGGCCAGGAGCTCTTTGAGCTCTGCGGGTTGAAGGTCGTCTGGAGTCACGAATGAGTAGCCTCCCTGTGTGGCCAGTGGGAGTGGGAGTGCTGTGGGACGCGTCGGGTGGAAGGGAGGGGTTGTGTGGGTAGCAGTGGCTGGTGCAGTGCCACATGGCTCTGGGGAACCTGAGACTGGCTTTAGGAAAGGCCACGAGGAGAGGCAGATCAAGAGCTGGGGTGGTATCAGTAACTCGTTTCGTTACGTTTTCTTCCTGCTAGGGTCTCGCTGGGTCTGGCCAGCCGTGTGCCTTTAGAACTGGCCCTTACAGCAGGTCACAGTCAGGCTGACAAGGCCATGTATCCCTTGGCTGGCCTTTCTTGGGCCCCTTCCCCTGCAGAAAAGCTCAGGGAAACACAGAGGAAAGGACATTGCCATTGGCAGGGCCCTCGGAGCTTCCTTCCTTAGCCTGCCCAGCCAACCCACGCTTTCCAGCTGCATACGGCTCGGTTTGTGACCTGAAGTTCCTTTCTGAAGGTTGGTCTGATGCAGGAGGAAGAGTTACAGTCACTCTGACTTTTACTCTCAACTGAAAGTTTAAGCAAGTTTATCTGAATGATCAAGAGAGATGTGGATGTACTCTGAGGACTGAGGGCATATAAATAAGTTGACTTTCATGTTATTAATTGTAATAAACAATACTCAGGTGATGAGTCAGCATTCATGGGTTTAAAGAACCTACATTTTTGTGCTATTGTGGGTTAAGAAACTGGAAAATTTGTGCCAATTGCTTTGAGTTGCTATAATGACGGTGTTCATTTGATAAACTCGCTGATACCTTTTTAAAATAATAGACCTTTGCTTCCTACAACTTTTTGTATATGATTTAAAAAGTGCATTCCCTGAAGCTGCTGGTCAGACTCCCTTAATGATGAAAGCTCGAGAAGATTTTTAAAAAACTGTATGTGTATGTTTCCTCTGTGCTGTTCATATGATGTGGGAATTTTTTCCCCTCTCGTTTTCCTGAGTGGAAACTCTCAAGTGGGGGAAGGGAGTGTTGCTGTGTACCTAGACGTGGCACCTGACTAGAGACTTTTCTATCAAAGCCTTCGGAAACCCTCCTTTATCCTTACTGGGTTGAGTTTTTGTAATGCTGGTTAGTTGATTTTGCTTTTGTCCTCATAGTTTTTTGGGAAATGGCTTGAAGGAGTTGTTTGCCAGAAGAATTTGGAGCTCCTTTGTAGAGTAGCTGGACTGTATGTCTGTGGGGTGATGGGGCTTTGGGGTTCTGGTGCCCCTCGGGAATGACCATCGGGGGGCTCCCACAGCACACTGTTTATTTCTAGTCCTCAGAGGATTCTTCATTCTGGATGTCCTCTGTGTAGTACTAATCACCCCTGGCATTGTCACATCTGCCTTTTTTTTTTTGGTGAGGAAGATGGGCCCTGAGCTAACATCTGTTGCCAATCCTCCTCTTTTTGCTTGAGGAAGATTGTCCCTGAGCTAACATCTGTGCCAATCTTCCTCTATTTTTTGTATATGGGATGCTGCCACAGCATGGCTTGATGAGCAGTGTGCAGGTCCACGCCCAGGATCCAAACCTGTGAACCCGCTGAAGCAGAGCGCGTGAACCTAACCACTACACCACTAGGCCAGCCCACCTCTGACTTTTTAGGAGTATGTACTCATTTAATGTTGGCCAGTTTCCCACCATTGGTGCTTCAAGTCACCCTGCAAAGGGAATCCCAGAGTCTGTATTTAAGCTGTCTGGGCTTTTGTCTCCCTTTCCTGCCTTTCTAAATAGCATCTGATTTTGGTGTCCATTCGTGTCCTACCCCTCTGGGAAATGAAAGAGGGCTCACCCTACGGCTAAGGAGGGTCTGACCTTGAGCTGAGGCCCTGCATGTGCAGAAAGAACACTGGGCCCTCCTTAACCAGGGACGGTGCAGTAGCCGCTTGGCTCTTTGAACTCCCTAGGATATCTCTGTAATTTGCTAATAGAACTAACTCCCTATGACTTTGTTGTTAAGGCCGCTGTGTTTCCTGCCGTCTTTAATATATTTGTAAAGCCTCAGACATTTTAATCTAGTGTTGCATTTCAGGCAGAGATGGGCTCTAATGTTGGAACTACTTTACAGGACCGGAGAGCTGTTTACACAGGTCTTTAGAACTAACATTAGCCATTCTAAAGATCTTTCTTTCTCTTTTTTCCCCTTAGAAAATCATTTGCAGAGGCATTCATTTTGAAAGGGGAAAATATTTGGCTTTTACCAAAGAGGTTTGTTTTTTTTTTTTAAAGCAAAATCCTTTCAGAAAAAACTTAATTGGGGAAGGGCGGATTAAGAATACATATGTCCAAATCCACTTCTATAAAATTTAATTATATTTATGTGAGTAACGTAATGGAAGAATTCTTTAAGGTAATCCTTTGGGGTAAAGGATCCTGGGAAATTCTCTCAGGTAAAGAGAGCTTGCAGCAGATGCGTAATATATGTCTTGAGAGCTATTTATAAGAAATTTAAGAGGATTTTTTTGCTTTCCTTTATTGAAGATTTAAGGTTTTTTTACTTTGCAAAAAAAAACTCTACAAAAGTTTTATAGTCATACTTTGTTAATTTTTTTAACTTTTCTGAAACAATTAGCTGTAGCCAAATTATGTGGTTATGTCTTGCTATTAGAATTTGGAAATGTAATATGTGTGGTAAATCTACTGTTTGAAATTTATAATGGTCTCGGATATGGTTAGAATTTTGGTAACTTTTAAAATAGTTATTTTTTTCCCTTTAGTCACAAAGGCAACTATGGATTTATATTTGTTTTTTGAATGCTCATTTTTCTATGAAATGTCTGAAGTTGACCAGTCTTTTCCTATGTAGAAAACTCAAAACTTGTTAACTCTGTACTTTAATAAAATTAAAAAATTGAAAATCACGTTGTTTTTTCTCCCTTCTGTTGGATACATTTAATTGAAGTCCTCCAGGTAGTTTCCAAAGATGTTGCCTTCAAATGTCAATCAGCTTTCTCTTAAGTCAGACTCATAGAGTCTGTTCTGATTCTTGAGAATGAAAATACCAACCTGAAAACCCAAGCTTTTTGCCTTCTTCGCTACTGAATATCCCTGTGACCTGCCTCCTTTTTCCTGTGCTTATGCTAGTGACCCACTATCTGAAATATGACACTTAGGATAGGCGTTGAAAGAAGGTTGTGTTAGTCTTCCAACCTGGTCCTTCTTTTTCAAGATTTGGCTATTCTAGGTCTTTTGCATTTCCCTTTAAAGTTTAGAATTAACTTGTCAATTCCCTTGATGGGGATGGCATTGATTGTTTAGATGAATTTGGGAAGAATTGATGTCATAGCAACACTGAGTCTTCTGATCTATGATTATATCTTTCATTTATATAGATCGTCTTTAATTTCTTTAGTAAAATTGTTACCATTTTCATCAAAATTTCAAAGAGGTATTTAGTTGCAAGTAGGTCAACGTGACCCTGATGCGGGGAAAGGGAACTAATCTGGGCATTACCAATAGGGCGTTACTTGTAGGAGTGGAAGTATGCATTCTTATCTTAAGAGAGTGTGTTCTTTAATGGTTAAGCAGATGTACAGTGTATGTTTGAAAGCCATAAATCAGGCTTCTTAGTTCTAGCCAAATGAGTTTTGAACCCAAATACTTACCCCATATAGCTCAATATGTGAGAATCTCTCGTCAGGGTCTTTGTCAGAACACATGCGCATGCTCACGCACTCAGCGAAAGTGTACCCAAGTGTTCACCTGTTGTTCTGTCTTCACAGCAGCAGACCCACCCTGCTCTCCCCCTCCATGTTTTGGAAACTGTTCTCATGGTTATAGCAGGAGCAGCTATGTTCTTTCCGTACAACTCCCCCGTCACAGCTACAGTTAACTGATCCAGGAGTGGACTTTCCATCCAGGCTGGGCAGTCAGCCTCTCTGGAAATTTCAACGTGAAACTGAAAATGCAGCTTTAGACTGGCTGCTGTCTTTTTTTTTGTGCGTGTGTGTGTGTGAGGAAGATCAGCCCTGAGCTAACATCTGACGCCAATCCTCCTCTTTTTGCTGAGGAAGACTGGCCCTGGGCTAACGTCCTGCCCATCTTCCTCTACTTTATATGGGACACTACCAAAGCATGGCTTGACAAGTGGTGCGTCGGTCTGCGCCTGGATCGGAACCTGCAAACCCTGGGCTGCCGAAGCAGAGCGCACACACTTAACTGCTATGCCACCCGGCCGGCCCCCTGCCTGCTGCCTTGAACCAAGGAGTTGGG